AGTGAGTTCCAGGACAGCCTCCAAAGCTACACAGAGAAACCCTATCTTGTAAAAAAGGGAAAAATACATATAGTTGTATGGGTGTGTTACAGCATACATTTGTGGAATCAGTTTTCTCTGGCATTTATGTGGTTTCCAGGGATAGAACTCAGGTCATCAGTGGGGCAAAAGCCTCTGCCTGCACAGCCACTTTTCTGGATTTTTGTTGTTGTTGCTTTTGGTTTTTCTAGACAGGGTTTCTCTGTGGCTTTTTTTTTTTTTTTTTTTTTTTTTTTTGAGGCTGTCCTGAACTTGCTCTTGTAGACCAAGCTGATCTCAAACTCACAGAGATCCCCCTGCCTCTGCCTCCCAAGTGCTGGGATTAAAGGCATGTGCCACCAATGCCTGGCTTTCCTGATTTATTTTAAAGATTTCTTTTAATTTTTATTGGTGTATGTCTGTCAGTCTGTGTGTGTATGTGTGTGTGTGTCATATGTCTGTGTGTGTCTCTGTGTGTGATTTGTGTGTATGTGTATGTGTGTGTGTATCTGTGTGTGTGTGTGTGTATTTGTGTTCTGTGTCTGTATGAGTCTCTGTGTATGTGTCTGTGTGTATGTCTTTGTGTGTGCCTGTGTGTGTTTCTGTGTGTCCATCTGTCTGTCTGTGTATATTTGTGTGCCTGCATGTGTGCCTGCATATGTGTGTGTGTGAGAGAGAGAGAGAGATTTGTGTATGTGTTTGTGTGTCTGTCTCTGTGTGTGTGTGCATGTGTCTGTGTCTGTGTCTATGCTTGTGTGTGTGTGTGTGTGTGTGTGTGTGTGTGTGTGCCATGTGCATGTGTTTGCCCACTGAGGGCCAGCACAGGCCATCAGGTCTGCTGCAGCTGGACTTACAGCTGGTTGTGAGCTGCCCAGTGTGGGTACTGGGAACCGAACTTGGGTCCTCAAAAGTAGCAAGCAAGTGCTGAGCCATCTCTCCAGTGAACTCTCCCCCACTTTTGTTGTTTTTTGAGACATTGTCTCAGTCTATCCCAGGCTGACCCCAAGCTTGGGGGCTGACTTTGAACCCTTGACTCTCCTGCCTCCAGTGCCCAAGTGTTGGGATGATTCTTTGGTGTCTCTGCCTGAAAACTGTATGACGTTTTTGAGCCATCGTCTGTGCTAAGGTGTGGCTGCCAGAATCACACACACCCTGTATGTAACCCCAGAAAGCTCATTGCTTCACCGGCTGGGCTTGGATGGAACCCCGTGTTGGCTGTCGTTGGGCTCTTTCTGCATTGAAAAGACACACAAGAATTGGAGAGAGGGGCTGGCGAGATGGCTCAGTGGGGCAAAGCGCTTGCCACTAATCCTGATGATCTGAGTTCGATTCCCGGCATCCACATGGTAGACAGAGACGACTTTGCCTACAGGTAGTCCTCACACCTCCTCGTGTGTGTTTGTCATGTCTCAATGCCACACACACACACACACAAAGGGAGGAAAGGAAGAAAGAATCAGTGGACTTCAGAGACAAAAGGAGAGTTGTGGTGCTCTATTTAGACAGGACTCAGGACTCATCATGGCCATGTTGACTGGCTCAGTGTCACTGATGGGGGACACCAGGAAGACTGGAGATGGCATCACTTCGTAGATGTTGCTGTCACCTGAAGTAGAAGAGGAAGGGGTCCCCGATGACAGAAGGCTGTTGTAGGTCCGTTCTGCCCACTTGTTCACATGGCTTAGTCACTCAACCAACATGTAAAGCATACCCCACCTCCAGCCAACTGTGTGCTGGACACACAGCCGTGGCCCAGACAATCCAGGCAGGGCCCTCCTATTACTTGAAGTCCCCTGAGAGTGACAAGCCAGAGGGCTGGGAACCGGGTGTGTGTGTGTGGGGGGGGGTGGGAAAGCTGTGGGAACACAGAAGCAGGTGCCTGACCAGCCTGGACAGCCAGGTAGTGAGGACTACCTGGAGGAGGGGGCCATCTGAGACAGTGAGAAGGGAAAAACGGGCAGAGGCCAGAGGGATGCTTGCAGGAGCCTTGCAAGAGAGGCCACTGTCTGCAGATAGTGAGCGACCTGCGAGCCATGCTAGGGAGACAGAGGTTTGTCCCGGCTACTGGGGGAGCTATGGAAGGCTTATGAGCAGGGCACCTGCTAGAAGCAGGGACCCTGGAGGTTTAGGAGGGGCCTTTAACCCTCCACGATCCCCTCGGGTGAGTCCACGGGTCCCAGTGGGCTCTGACTGCGTGTGGGACAGAAAGGCTGGGTAAAAAGCCTCTTGCTCCTGGCTTACCAGAGTCAGGACTGGTGCTCAGTTCCGGCTGCTCTGTAGCTGGAATCCTGGAGGTGGGAAATAAAAGAACCCTGAGATGATGGGGTGGGGGACCCCGAGAACCTGGAGCCTCTACCCCCCTGATTCCCATCTGATCTGACCCTTACCCCACCTGGGGAAGACAGGGCACCTAGAGAGGAAGGAGAGGGGGTGGAGGACATAGAGGTGGGGAACCTGTACCTGGGGCTCCGGCCCTTCCGCCTTCGAGTGACCAGGAGGTAGGCAATTCCACCTACAAGCAGTGACCCCACAGCAAGGCTCCCAATGATGGTAGCAGCCATGATCCCAGCATTGGCAGGCAGGTGTCCTGTGACTGAGTATTCACGTGTATCTGGGAGAAAGGTTGTATCGGTGATGACTTTTGTCTGTCCTCACCTAATTATTTACTTTACAGTGCCATGCTATGCATGCTAGGCAACCCACTCTACCACCGAGCCACACCCCCAGCCCCTCACTGCGGGATTCTAGGCAGGGGCTCTACCACTGAGCCACACCCCCAGCCCCTCGCTGGGGGATTCTAGGCAGGGACTCTACCACTGAACTAAATCTTTTCAGCCCATTTTTTGTAAATTATAATTTTTTTAAAAAAAAGATTTATTTATTTACTATGTATACAGTGTTCTGCTTGCATGTATGCCTGCAGGCCAGTAGAGGGCACCAGATCTCATTGCAGATGGTTGTGAGCCACCATATGGTTGCTGGGAATTGAACTCAGAACTTCTGGAAGAGTAAGCAGTGCTTTTAATCACTGAACCATCTCTCCAGCCCGTAAATTATCATTCTTAAATGTTACTATTTTGAAATATGGTCTCATGTAGCCCAGGCTGGCCTCTACCCTACTATGTAGCTAAGGAGGACCTTGACCATCTTTGTATTTGTTCTTAGACACATGTGCATGTGTGTGTATGTGTGTGTGTGTGTGTG